GCCTTGGCCGGAGAAGCGGCGGCACGCAGCGCTGGGCGCGCTGCCGCTGGGCCAAATTGGTTGAAATGAGCCCCGCTTTTAGGGGTTGCTTCCCTTCACTGTGTTTTGCAGCGGTTTGAGGCCTTCTGCTGAGGTTTGCTCTTGGCATGTTGTTTTAGTGGGGGGTTCTTGGTTCTCTTCAGCATCTTCAGCGTTACTGGGCGGCTGCAACAAACACAGTTCGCTACCATACCAAGAGTTGTAGAGTTCCGGTTAATTTGCAGCGGAGTATCAACTCTGCAGTAACCTTTATGGTTATTTGGTCACGGGTCTTTGGAGGGGTCAACAGCAACCAACATAATTGGGGTGGGTGACTTTGTTTGCGTGTTTTAAAGGGGAAAGTTCCCCAACAAAAAGAGACATGGGTGTAATCTTTGTTGACAGTCATTTTTACCTTGGTTAAAGGAACCAAAAGGACAACTACATTCCTTGTGGGGTCCCCGTTGGTTGCCTTCCAAGCGGAATCAGAATTTGGGGAAAGGACCCTCGCGGGAGTATTTTCAAAGTCCTTTTGTAGTGCTCCCCCCCCCAACATAAGCGCAGGTGGTATCCCCAACAGGCCCGGACAACCGTGGAACTCTCCGGAACCCTCCCTGAAAGCTGGAAGGGGGGGAAATTATGGTTTCCTTGTTTTCCCCTCAACACCAAAAAGGGTACCCTTGAAATAGACAACCCCCTCAAAACCCTGGGACTTGTTCTGACCAATCCACTCAGTGATCTTGCTTCGCTTCTTGCCTCAAAGCCCAGCTTAAAACCTCCCTCTCCATTCATGCCATGAACACCCTCCCAGGTTGACTCGTGTTTTCCCGTGAAAGCGATTCCTCTCGTTCGATCGATCCACGTGCCCATGAGCCACGAGGCGGCGGCCAGCGTCCTGGCCACGAAGCCGCTGGAGGAGGCGGCCAGGGCGGCGGCCAAGGCCGCCCTCGCCGCCGCGCAATCCGCCCACTTGGCGGAGGCATACGGCCGACGGCGATTCACGGCATACGGCCGACTGGGGGGATGGGATTTCTCGGGCCGGCTTTTCTCGCGGGTTTGGTGGCCGGCCAGTTTCTGTGACACTTGGTTTCAAGGGCAAAGAGAGAAAAGCAAGTCCGGTTTCGGGTGCCGTATTTTGACACATACCCCATCAAAGTGAGAAGAGCGTGTGGCATGGGAATCAAGCAGTGTGGCGCGGGAATTTACACCCATGGTCGGGCAGGTTGCGTGGCTTGCTTGGTCCTTTTTAGGACTGTTCATCCTGTTTAACGTGTTGTGCATGTGTGGAGTTCCAGCCATCGTGAATCGTTTTTGCTCAGGTCCTTTGGGCAAGTTACCAGGACCAAGCATAGCTCCTGCCAAGCACGACAAGAATGTCCCAAATTCGTGGTTTTGTCCTGGATTGTTATTTATGTCAACCAAACACGTCATTAAAGTTGGCCTTGACAGTTGTTTTGTTTTCGCCTTTGAGAGGTGTGGGGTAGGGCTTGAGGTAGTTGAACCTTTGCTTGTTTCCAGCTTGTGACCGGAGAAGCCTTGAGCACAACCATTGAGTCGCATCGAAAGACGGAACATCCTCAGCAACTCACATGAAACTTGACCGAAGAAAGGCAATCTTGCAGAGGGCACGCCTCAGGTTTCCTGCAGCAAAGCCTCGCAGAAGATGGAATGAAGTTGCCAAATCCCAGCACTCCAATCGCAATTGCGGACGTCACACTCGAAATCTCGCACATAGCTTTTTCCAGATTGTTTGGGTAGCCGTAGCTGGGTGAATGTTCAAGCCAACGAGGGGCCCCCTGAGGCCGGGGCTGCTGTCTTTTAATGGGTGCCTGATTCGACATATTGATTGCCACCTGAAATCCGATGAACCTATCTAGGCTATAGTCAAAATGGCAGGGACGTGCAGTTGCCCAAAGCCCACTGCAAGTTCCGATGCAAGCCATGCAAGCCATCCGGTTCCTTAGCTTTTTAGATCCTTTTAGTGTTTATTCGGGACTTCCATTTCACCCACTAAAAATTACTCACTAGCGGGGGATCCGACGGGCCCAGATTTCTCATTCCCTATTCCCTTCTCGCAGGCGGTGTGGCTTGCTGCGCTAGCCAGGGAATGAGAAATGGAATGAAATTCCCTCCCCAATTTGGTTTCCATTATTCAGGACTCAAATGGTTCCTTCCATTTCTCATTCCCTTCTTGACTGGTTTGGATCTTTAGACTTTGACCCTTTGGGAACTCAAGTTGGGTTTTCCACTAAACCCACAAAAAGTGAATCACTTTTTGCAGAGGGTTTGAACAGCCAAGCTTCCCGCGCACGGCGCACAGTTCCCGCGTCAAAAAATAAAACGCGACAGGACCGGGCCCGGGAGCTGGCCATCCAGCTGGCCGGCGCCACCGCTGCAGAGGCGGCCGGCTTGGCCGGGGGTGTGGTTTGGCGTTGCCGTGCGGCGTTGCCGTCTAGTCACGAGGGGTTGGAAGAGGCCCGGATTTTTTTTGGGTGTGCAACGGCGGAGGTCGCTTATTTGGAGACCCTATCTTTTTTCTTCGCGAGTGGGGCGGGTTGATTGCCACAACATGTATTGGTCACCTATCTGAGAGCCCTGCAGGCGACAACGCCCCTTGCTGTAGCCTGCAGGTGACCGCCTGGATTATTGTACAAAGACTGCTTGTCATAGGCGTCCTTTTGATCGGTTAGTTTGGCTAAAAATAGATGGGTTCCACTAGGTTCCACTGGTTTGGATGGGTTCTGTTCCATGTACCAGGGTAACCCATCGATTTTTCACAAAAGGCCATCTATGGGCGGAGGTGTGTGTTTTTTTTCTGAAGGCATGGAAGTAGCGCTCGGCTTTTTGGATCAGGACCCCCAATTGCTGCTTTGGAGCTCGGTGGGTTGCTTGAAGTTTTGGCTCTGCAGAAATGCTCTGTTGCCCAGCGCCCTTGTTTCCTTTGGGGGGAAGGGTTCCAATTCCTCTAAAGTCAGCCAACCAAAAAAGGGTGCCGATTCTCTTTTTGTTTCCCATGGAAATCCACTGGGCATCAGCAGTGTGCGTGTTGGCCACGCAAACAGCTGGCTCAGAGCATCAAACAACTCCGGTCCGTAACTGGGCGAAGCGAAGGGACTCCGGGCGTCTGGGACGACTCCCGAATCCCGAAGCCGCTTCAAGCCACGGGGCTCTAATCCCGGAAGGCCGGTTCCTAGGCCAGCCTGGCGCTGGGGAAGGGCGCCAAGGAGGCGGCGGAAAGCGCCGGCAAGGCGGCAGAGAGCGCCGCCAAGGAGACAGGCCTAGGGCAATCTTTTCGGGCGGTTTTGTTCTGTTGGGGTGTTTTCCCGTTTTTGTTTGTTTGTTTTGACATGTTCCTGGATTTGGCCTTGTCTGGCGTCTTAGCTTCTTGTTTTTTTTTTTTTTTTTTTACTGTTTCTTCATTCATTAATTCATTCATTCATTCATTCATTCATTCATTCATTCATTCATTCATTCATTCATACAGTCATTCATTCAGTCATTAATTTCTTCATTCGTTCGTTCATTCATTCACCCATGTACTGTTTGATTCATTGATTTGCAAGCATGCGTATCATTGCATACATCACCCACACACACATATGTCACATACACCTGAAACGCAGTGTAGAACGTGCGTCCATTACATACGGGTACTCAATATACTATATGCATTACACCGATTGCATTACATACATGCATATACACCAACACCCACCAGCATACACACACGCACACAGTACCTATAGCTCATGGCATTGCATTGCCTTGAGTGGCATTGCCGTGCTTTGCATCGGTTGCAGTTCAATGCAACACATGCAATCACATTGCAGTGCGTTGCAAATCCATTTCGTTGCATTGCATGGTGTTGCACTCCATTCAATAACATTGCATTGCATCACGTGCCATGCCAGTATGTGGTTTATATTGCGTTGCCTTTCAGTTGATTGCAATACCTCGCATGGTCTTGCACTACATTCCATAACATTGCATTGCATCAAATGCTATGCCATTACATTATTGATTTACTGTTGATTGCTCCACTTTCCATTGTGCTGCACTGCCACTAAATTGCAGTGCATTGAATTGCATCGTGTTACATGACATCACGTTGCATTGCATTGGTGCAAAGAGTTTCAGAGCTGGAAGGCTGGAGGTGGATCATGGGGGCGGACCAACTACATTGCTTTGCTTTGCACCATCATTGCATCTCGCAATATATGTGCATTGAGTTGCATTGCATCGTCTTACTATACATTTCATCACATGGGTGTATCTGTTTTTGGCAGCATGGTGTTTTCCTGTACACAAACTGGGGGTAGCCTCAAACACAAGAAGTCGCGCCATCTACAGATGAATAATCTCGTGTTTGCCTTTTGGTTTCCCTTTAAAAACCCACAACAACGGGGGTACCAACTCCGAGAAGAAAAAAAAGAAGAAACAACATAACAAAAACAACTTGCCACCAGTTGGAAGGTTTATATGGGTCATTCCAACTCATTCCCTACCTATCGCACCAGCAAGAAGAATTCTCTTTGTGGGTCATTCCCTCCTGAATTTCCAGATCTGAAACCCCTTTTGGCTTCCCTGTAAACCCCATAGAAACCAAAACTCCAAAAGCACACACACACAAAAAAAAAAAAAACACTAAACAAAAAGCGACAAGGAACCAAACAAACATACACCAAAAAAACAAACACCAAAAAAGCCCAACTCCAAAAAGGCCGAGGGCCGTGCGTCCCAGGCCTCAACGAGGAGACCTCCAAGCGCCTGGCGGCGCAGAGCGCCTCTGCCGCCGCGGCAGAGGCGGCGGAGGCGGCCAAGGGCGCCGCGCAGGCGATCCGTGCCGGGCGTTGGGGGGCCAGCCGGGGGGGGGTGAGACCCACTGCCGGGGGTACCGTATCCCAGAAAAAAAAACAGGTACCTTGTGGCAGCAGAGAATGTTGTGTGACGGTCCCTGGATCTATTCTGCAAGAGAGTCCAATATGCGAATAGTGGAGGAACTGAGAATGGTGCCAACTTTTAGCCTTTCAAGAATTGGGGGAGGGTTCCCCTACTATGGATCCGCCAGGTCTATGTGATCTCAGTTCAGTGGCGCCAATTCTCTTTCCTTTTTGGTGGCTGCGCCACCAAACATAGCCTTCCCCAAAAAGGGTCAGGGTCACTGAACAACTACCAAACCGAGGTGTCCTTTTTGGTTGGTTTGCTCAAAAATAGAGGGTGATTCCTGGTTTACCTGGTGGTTCAATCATCTACCAGGGCCATCTATTTTCCAAAAAGGACACCTATGCCTGTGGTTCTTTGGGGTGTTTTTAAAGAGTTTCCGCTGGAATGCGATACATGATCTAGATCCCCCAGCTAGGTGCCAACTTTTACAAACTATTTTGGTTGGGAGGGTAGCTGCCCAACGGTTGCACCACATGGGCTATGGGCCAAGGCCAAGATGTGCAGCCTGTCGTAGCAGGGGTCACTGGAATTCCCGTTCAAAAGTTGATCAACTTCCTGCTGGAAAAATGTCCCTATGGGAGTCTCCAAGAAGGTCACAGGCTGTTAAAAGCCCAAAGCACCAAGCAAGAAAAGAGGAAAAGCACCAAAAGCACCAGTTGTGTTTTTGCATTGTTTTTTCTTCTGTTTCCTCCAACAAGGGATTTTGCGGCTCGGGACGGCTGGCTCGGGACGAGCGTTCCCGCGTCAGGCCGCCGGGCTGGTGGCGGCTTCGGCGGCATCCGCTCCGCCGGAGGCGGCTCAGCAGGCCGCGAAGGCGGCGAAGGAGGCGGAACTTCGGGGCCTTCGGGGCTTCGGGCGTGGCTCCTTTGCGAAGCCGTTTCTGCCATGTGTTGTGTGTTCTTTCTTTCTTTCTTTCTTTCTTTCTTTCTTTCTTTCTTTCTTTCTTTCTTTCTTTCTTTCTTTCTTTCTTTCTTTCTTTCTCTTTTTTTTTGGGGGGGGGGGGCGTTTTTTGGTTAATTTTTTTTTTTGGGGGGTGGGGGGCGGGGAAGGGAAGGGGGCGTTTTTTTTTTTTGAGCGGCTCTGCTTGTGGAAGCCGTTGGTCCCGTTCTTGCCTTGCTCTTCTTCTTTTTTTTGTTGGGGGGGGTTAAAAATGTGGTTTCCTTCATTTGAGCTTGTCGTTTTGTCCGGTCTGGGGATCCTTCATAAGTTGCGGTTTCCCTTTGTATTTGGGCGTGCCTTTTTTGGGGGGAGCCTTCAAAATGGCTTCGATTTCCCTGGGTAGGCTTGAAAAAGACACACCCATGCCCCCTTTTCGGCTCCAAAAGCGGCAGTTTCTCAATGGGACACCATCAGTTGATCAACTTTTGAAGGGATTGCTTATGATCAATACGTGGATAGTCACAATGAAACCACCAGACCGCAGGTGTTTGTCCTTTCCATTTTCCAGGGCAACCCATTTTTGGGTTGCTCGATTCTTGCTTGACCCACACTCATTTGCGTCGTGCCTTCTTGTGCACCAGACCAAGAGGAAACCTCCAAGTGAGTCACAATCAAAGCCCGGGTAAATGCAGGTTAGTAAGGGGCAATCCCAGCAATAAATGGTTGCGGCCGCCTGTTCAATGCCTTACATGGTTCTGGGTTCACCATTTTGGTACCAGGTTTTGATGGTGACTCAAGTTGCTTCCTGCCATCCCCGCCGGAGCACTGATTTTTGTGAGAGGCGGCGGTGAAAGCGGGGCTTTCGGAGGCGCGCCGGTGCTTCATGCTGGGAATGACAACGAGTCCGGGTGTTGAGCATGAATCGGTCTTGGGGATCTCCCGAACAAAGGAAACCATAAGGGATGGTCGGTTTATAGGGGTCGTTCCAACTTGGTCCCTGCCTGTCGAACCAGCAAGTTGGTTTGCAGTCATCTTGGAAAAATATTGCTCTCACTTACAGGGTTCTTGGACTTTACTTAAACTGTTTGGGAAGACGGACCAGTTTAGTGGCAAGCAGAGAGTTCGGGTTCTTTTTACAGGGGTCTCTATATTTACCTTTTTGGTGGTTTTAAACAGCACCTTTTTGGCCTGTGAAAGGTGAGTATCCCTTGGGGGTGATGTTTTAAGGGGAAATCTAGGGAGCCCTGTTTTACTTCCGCAAACATCGCACGGAGGTCCTTGCAGGCGCTGAGGCGGCGCGGGCGGCGGGCCGCGCGGCGGCGGCGTGCGCGGCGCGCTTGGGGGCCACTGCCACCAGATGCGCGGAGGAAGCAGGCGGCCCTGGGAGAACCAGCAACAGCAAGTCTGACCGGGGCTTATTTACTCGACCAGTTGGTCGGATCTTGGGACTTTAACTGTTTGGGACATGCGTAGCCATTTTTTTGCTCAAGACTGGCTTCACCCATCAACAACACGGGTTCTGCAATCATGGACATGTCGCGCGCACGAGCGCGAACGCCTGTCGACTGGCTGCGAGCCGCGTCTCCGGTGCCATCGAACGCCGCCTCACACAGGAGGCACAGGGGCTGCCCCGCCCGCGGGCCACGCGCAAGGCGGAAACACGCCGAGATCAAACAACAACACCCGATAGCGAGATGGGGCCAACAACAACCGCAGATACAAAATACATGGGAGCCAGGCACCACAGACTACGGTACAAGGCGCTATGCACAGACTACGGTACAAGGCGCTATGCAACAGCCCACGATTTCCAGTACCCGCAAATGGGACCGGCGTCCCAGATGATGCGGCGCCAGCACTGCAAACGAAGCAGCAGAGTGGCGCGGCAGACTTGGCCATGACAATGATGGGCACAAAGGAGAGCCGCCAGGGCACAAGTTTGACAGGAGCAGACAGCAATGTCTCGAGCCACCCTGTACTTCTGCGAGCCGTGGTAGATGAGCTCGATGGGGTCCTACTAGCTCATACTCTCACCGCGGAAGTTTTTTGGAGGGGAATGTTGTTGAACACCTCACCGTGCTAGCGTCCAACCGGAGGGGAGGTCAGAGATTCTCAAGAAACGCTGACAAGGAAGTGCTGGGGCATCCGGATTCACGCTGCCTTGGACGCGTTTACTTTGAAACGCGCCCATCAAAGTTTGGGCTGTTCAATCAAAAAGATCCTTCCCCGTATCAGTGCCCAGTCTATTGCATGGAGAAACCAGAGTTGCGGATGGTGACAGACCCCTTCTAATTTTCGAGGAGTTGCCCAAGGTTTGGGGTATTCATCCATGTTCGTGGAGTGCCATTGCTTTTCCCAATGTTTTTGGACATTTCTGTTTTGGAGGATTTTTTTGGGGGGTGGAAGCCAGATGCCCCTGTCTAGTTCTTGTGGGGGGTGGGTTTGGGTTTGGGTGCCGCGTGGGTCAGGCCGCGCGGCCGCCTTGGCCGCGAAGGACGCGAAGCTCGCGCCCGGGGAGGCGGCGCTCAGGGCGGCGGGCCGGGGCCTCGATCGAGCGCTCACGACATGAGAGAGACGCGCCGTTCGGCGGAGGCGGTGGTTGTTTTCTTTAAGTTTGGGGCAGTTTTGGCAGGCTGTGCTTTTTCGTTTTGTTGTGGGGAATGGGTGACGGACAGGTTGCTTAGGTTTTGAGAGGTGTTTAGTTGGTTTAGTTGTTGGGGTTCAGAGTTTAATCCACAAGTTAAACACTTTCAGGGGATCAGTTTGGACAGGCCAGGGTGGCGGAGGTGTTTTCGGGAAAGTCTCATTATCCAATCTACGGGTAAACGCGTTGTGTATGAATACATGATAGAATGATCATGTATGCATATTAAATATCAGATGTTGGAAGGTTCAGGCAGAAGCGCAGCTTGTGTTTCCTGAGAGATGACTGAGACGTATTGCCAGCAGCACCATCTTGATTCCATGAGACATGTCTTGATTTTCCCAGAAATTTGCTCCCCTGTTTCATGTGTTGCTTTCCACTAACCAGCCAAAAATCATAGCTTGCTGGGGTCCCAATGTTAGCCAAGTTGACAGAGAGAAAACCAAGGAGCAATGTCCCTTAATGTTTAAATCAGCGCCTTGCTTTGGAAGCCGAGGCGAGGCCTACGTCAAGGCCGCTGCATCGCGTTTGGGGTAACCGTGCGGGAGGGGGGTTGTTCATAGAGCCACAATGCGCTTGCAAAGTTGCCCAAGTACAACATGTTGAGAAACATGGAGGCCAGCATTCTATCAGAGGGGAGTTTGCGCAGCGATGGCTACAATCACACAATGCTCTGGAGAACTCGGTGAACATCATAAAGTTTATGCTTCTTGGTCGATGGCCAGCAGTCACTACAAGTCGCGGATAATCACTATTACCAGGAGTTTCAACACCGATGAACATGTCCTACAAAAGTCTCTGTGTTTTGCATTTTCTCCTTGCTATGAGCTGAGCGTTTAGGTCTCCAAAGACGGGGAGGAGGCGGGCAAGGCGGCGGCCGCGGCAGGATTGGCGCCTCACCTTTAAAAGGTCGGATTCGGTGAGAGAAACAACACAAAGAGACACGCGGAGGCAGATAAATAGAACAGTCAATAAAAAGAGAGATAGATATAAAAACCGATGCGCAGAGACAAAAGCATGGCTGCGCGGGGAAGATTGGAGAGCTTTGAAGCTTGAAGGAAAGTCATGCCAGCTATGGCCCTCTCCCCAACATGGAGTTCCATATCCACGCAGCCTCAAAGCTCACGCGGGAAGTGGGGGGGGGATCCTACTTGCGAAAGTCTGCTTTGATTTCAGAAGAGAAGGGCAAGGCCCAAACATTTGATTTCCAGGGGCGCATTGAGGAAAGGGCTCGCCTCCATTCTTGGGACCTGGGTATGGGAATTTGGCAGTCCCAATGGAGTGGAGCCGTGCAGGATTGCTGTGGTCAACCACTAGAGCGTGATCCTGACCAACGATCCAACCAACCAACCAACCAACCAACCAACCAACCAACCAACCAACCAACCAACCAACCAACCAACCAACCAACCAACCAACCAACCAACCAACCAACCAACCAACCAGGGCAGAGCGCCTGTGTACCCGTTATGTAAGTGGTATATTTCAGGGGCTAGGTATTTCTGAACTGTTAAAGTCCCATAGAAATGTCCCATGACAAATTATTTTGAGTTGTTCAGTTTGGATGTATGACAGGCTACCCTTCTTCCCACTAACATAGCGGCTGTGGGAGGATGCCTGGAAGATCAAGTTCCTCTTTAAGGCACAACTTGCAGGGACCCCATGGCGGAAGAGAGGGTAATAAGTAGGGACATGTTGCTCCATGACTGGTTTCGTTGTCAAGTATCTCACAACCCCATTGCAGCAACGGCCAAATCTTCTTGTCAGCGGTTGCCTACCAGAGTTTCACGACCAGAAGTGCGCGTCTATGCTATATACGACATGTTGACCTGCATGTTTTACCGCACGTCTGCAACTTTGCTTGTCACTTTGCCACGTGCTTTCAGTTTGATGCTTGTAATTGATATTGTTGGCCTATCACCACCTCGCCTCCCACCAATATGATTCCCTGAGGCGTGTGTATCAGTGTTTGCTGATGTGCACATACAAGTCTGTATTTTCGGGATGCCCTTCTCAAATTCCCCTTGGGGAAGCCACTATCTCGATACATCTAGTGGTGAGTCAACACACCACCAGGACTTGGACCCCAGATTTTAGTCAAAGTTTCCACGTGCCAGGGTTCCCAACTGGGGGGGCCCACAGCCAAGTCTTGGAGGACCTGACTTGTTTGACACTTGCGCCCAGGCTCACGGCATGGAGTGGGTGCCCTGGCAGATGTTTCGTGTCGGATTTTGGAGGTTTGGTGGACACATCGCCACGAATTCACGTGGTGGAAATCATGTTCCGAATCCGAATTGATGTAGAATCATGTGGAAATCCAGTTTCGTGGCATATGGTTGATAGTCTAGGTGCCCCAGCAGTGCCCATTTGCCAAGCTTTTTTGGGGGAGGGTTCCCCTACTTTATTGACTACCGAAAAGAGGGTACCCTTATTCTAACCTCTCTTCTGGAGGACCTGGTAGTTGATGTGGTGAAAATACCTGACACTTCATGGACTGTAGACCATGTCACACGTTCCTTGCTTGTGACGACCAAGTCGCTGCTGTGCAGCCTCGCTTTAGAATTTGGGGAAAACGTCCGCACCCGAAAATATGGAAACTGCACATTGCTTGAATCTTTTCCAGCCAACATCATTCTTGGACCAGCAGTTTTGCAAGCATATGTTATACATGCATTCAGTCGTTTTCAAACACTTCACGCAGGACACAGTTCAAGCAACAACCCAATAGCATGGCAAACTGATCACTTCTCGAGAATCGGCCCACATATGGCGGTCAAATAACGAAGCAAGCGGCCAGCATGTGTTGTTCATTCCCTTTTGCTGCACGTCGTTGTGATATTATGTATGCTAGTGTAAACACTTTGCGAGCCATTTCAATACTCATGATTGTTGCTGTGTATCTTAATGGACCCAGCATCACACCATCACCCTGATGTGCGAGAACTGAGTACACGTGGAGTTGCTTTGTTTTGATCACGGTGTGTGTGTGCGTGTGTGTGGCTTTCTTTGGACTGACTCTTACATGATGTTTGCTACACCAAGGATTTGGCAGCAGTCTTGGCAGCGGAGGTGGCTGGACAAGCTGCAGCAGCGCCTTGAAAGCACGAGAACTGCGTACGGAACCAGACCTGAGAGCATTTGAGTCTCCCAGCTTGGCAGGGAGCCGGTGACCGAAGAATCAATGACATAGATCGCTGGATGAATCGGACTACCTCCTTGGAAGGTACCAAGGGACCCTCTGGGGTAGGGAATGCGGGAAAGAATCCAGGGCTTTGTTGAAGGAAACCACCAGTTGGATGGGTCATTCTTTGCTGCCCTGCTGAGCACCAGCAAAGTCACCAAACTTTTGGCGAAGCTACGAAGCCAAGGGCCATGCACATACATTGACTCCAATGTTTAACCGGCAGATACCGGTTGGCTTTGTCCCGAAACTGCATGAATTGTGGACAGTGAGTAGCGGTCGTTGCGCATTTTGCTCGTGTAGCATCATGCAATCTTTGAAGCCTGTGGCAGTTTTAAGCATTACCAATTGTCCTATAGCCAGCGGAAAGCTTCATTTTGGAGTGCCTGTTGACAGCCTCGAGTACAGGGGGAAGTGACTGCTGGCTTCCTGAAATCCAGACCGTTGCTGGATTTGGCAATTGACAAAAAACACACACCCACCCACCCACCCACGCACCCACCCACGCACGCACACACAGACACAGACACAGACACAGACACAGACACAGACACAGACACAGACACAGACACAGACACAGACACAGACACAGACACAGACACAGACACAGACACAGACACAGACACAGACACAGACACAGACACAGACACAGACACAGACACAGACACAGACACAGACACAGACACAGACACAGACACAGACACAGACACAGACACAGACACAGACACAGACACAGACACAGACACAGACACAGACACAGACACAGACACAGACACACAGACACAGACACAGACACAGACACAGACACAGACACAGACACAGACACAGACACAGACACAGACACAGACACAGACACAGACACAGACACAGACACAGACACAGACACAGACACAGACACAGACACAGACACACAGACACAGACACACAGACACAGACACAGACACAGACACAGACACAGACACAGACACAGACACAGACACAGACACAGACACAGACACAGACACAGACACAGACACAGACACAGACACAGACACAGACACAGACACAGACACAGACACAGACACAGACACAGACACAGACACAGACACAGACACAGACACAGACACAGACACAGACACAGACACAGACACAGACACAGACACAGACACAGACACAGACACAGACACAGACACAGACACAGACACAGACACAGACACAGACACAGACACAGACACAGACACAGACACAGACACAGACACAGACACAGACACAGACACAGACACAGACACAGACACAGACACAGACACAGACACAGACACAGACACAGACACAGACACAGACACAGACACAGACACAGACACAGACACAGACACAGACACAGACACAGACACAGACACAGACACAGACACAGACACAGACACAGACACAGACACAGACACAGACACAGACACAGACACAGACACAGACACAGACACACACAGACACAGACACACACACACACACACACACACACACACACACACACACACACACACACACACACACACACACACACACACACACACACACACACACACACACACACACACACACACACACACACACACACACACACACACACACACACACACACACACACAACACACACAAACACACACACAAACACACCGCGCACACCGCGCACACCGCGCACAACACGCACAACACGCACACCACGCACACCACGCACACCACGCAAACCACGCACACCACGCACACCACGCACACCACGCACACCACGCACACCACGCACACCACGCACACCACGCACAACACGCACAACACGCACAACACGCACAACACGCACAACACGCACAACACGCACAACACGCACAACACGCACAGCACGACAACACGCACACGCACACGCCAACGACACACACACACACATCCTCTCGATTTCCCTCTCTCAACGCACATGACCATGCGCGCCGGGCATTCTAGCACAGTGCTCTTATGATGTTCCGCCCTCAACGTGCGTCCCAGACGTTCTGTCATAAATCTGCCAAGCATGCTGTACGTCCCCTTTTTACCCCCCAAAAGCCATCATGAGGTACCAAGGGACCCTCTGCCTACTGAGCACCAGCAAGTTTTCTGACCAACCCACTGCTGAGGAGCTTTTGCTGCGGCAGGCGCCGCAGCAGGCAGCGCAGGCGGCAGCCAAAGGAGCCTTCCGGTGCGCCCGTGCGCAGAACTTGGCGCCGGAGACGCCTTGGCTCAAGGGCCACGGGGCAACCTGAGGGGGTCCTTTTTTTGGCACTGGACATGTCAAAAGCAGCTTCTCAATCCTCTCACGGACTTCAAACCAAAAAAGCCACTCATATTGGGGCAGGTCAACCGGTTTTTGCACTGGACACAAAATGTATGACACAATGGGCAAAGACCCTTTGTGTGTTTGGCAGACTTGTTTTCACTGTTTGTATATCATAACAAATGATCCCGCACCAAGTTCATAGGATTCAACTTCCTTCCCCCTGACCTTCCGACCTCCGTTTCGGTGAAAATACGACCCGGCCTTGTTGAGGAGTGTCCTTGTGCGGGGTGGATGAAGGTGGATGAAATCCTACGAGCACTGGGGTTGGAGTGAGTTCCTTATTTTAAGAAGTGGTTACAGCCTGAAGTGGGTTGAAAGCCCAAGTACATGTTGAGGTTCTCATGTTTAGTTTGGCAAGGGGTGAGGTAGCGGTGGAGTGGAGAAGCTGCTCAACGAGTGGCTGTTCATGGTTTATGGGTAAGGCCCGGATTGTGCCTTGCTTGAGGCGGAAGCCATGATGTTGTGGGCAGATTCTTTGAGCGTACAAACAAAGTAGTGAGATGTGTTTTTCTGTTTTTGTTCCCGCAACCCATCAAGCAGACGGGCCATCGCAAAAACCAACACGTATCAGGCCCCGTCCATACATCAAGTGCCTGGTGTTTCTTTGAGGTCTTGTTGGTGCGATACAAAAACCCCAACTAATTGGTTTCAAAATGGACACCTTTTGCAAGCGCCCTATTGCAAGCAAACATAAAGCACTGTTCGTAGCAATTACATGTGTTCATGGTGTTCTTCTTATTGTTTGGCGGCCGAGCCGCTGTTCATCGCCGCCCATGGCCTTCGGTTCGAACGCTTTGCCGTGTGGATGTGGCTTTTGTTGAGGGTACATACCCATGTTTGTTTCTGTTTTTCTCCGGTGGTAAATGAGAACCCTAGGGAAAACTAAAAGGAAGCCATTTTGGGGGGTCCGAATCTAAGCAAAAAGAACAAACCCTTCACTTCAATCGAGAGGATTTTCCTTGATCCCTTGAAGTGGGCCGCAAATGACCCATGTTGGGGGGTCCGAATCCAAAAAAAGGAGACTCAGAAGTCACCCTTTGTGTTTGGTTGTAAAGGGAAGCCAAAAGGAGAACGAACCCTTCAATTCAATCAAGAAGCCCTTCAATAGATTCAACGAGTTCAGTTCAAAAAGACGCGCGCGTTTCCAGGAAGGCGCTGCGGTCCGGGGCCGCTGCCGCGGCCTCCGCGGCCGCCAACGCGGCCTTGGGCCAAGGGGCCACGCCGCAGCAAGCGGCGCAGAGCGCAGGGGAGGCGGCGGCCCAGGCAGCGGACGGAAACGGATGCGGCCGGGGGCGATGGACAAAATATTAAGGTTAATTTCACTGTTCCTGGCATGTGTGTTGTTTTTCCCCACCTGACAGGATTTGTTGTAACGGTCGTAAGCTTGTGAGTGTGGAGGGTGGGGGTTGCTCGAAGCGAAGCAATGTTGTTTTGTTGTTTTTATTTGTTGTAAAGAAGATAAAGCAATAAGAGAAGTGGTTGGGTTCTTTTCGATTTTTACTGGGGGGCTGCAAACCACAAAGTGTTTTGCTACCATACCAAGAGTTGTAGAGGAATCCTTTGACCCGTTTTCCCCCGCCAGAAAATGGACCAACGGGTTTTCCTGTAGGTTTCCCTTCACCCAACTGTCAGTTGTCTTCAAGCTACTGTGGATGGACGATGGACGAAATGGGCCACCCGGGTCTCCGGATTTTGCGTGAAATATCCATGGAAGATCCAGGCATGGTTGAAACCATAACGTTTGTTGGGGAATCGAATCAGAAACCCCGTTGGGTTTCCGAACGGTGCTGAATGGATCTCGCAGCCATCCACACTACGAACTGGGGCTCCTGAATCCTTCAGCCCCCAAGACCCTATGCGATGCAGCTAGTGTGCGAGTTTCGAGAACTATGTCTACTTTCATGGTCTGCGATCGCATTTAGAAGACAATATTCCGTGCAAGCTATGCTAGGCATTAGAAACATTGGCCGCACGGGCAACAAAGCAAAGGTTTTCAGGATCCATTTTGGCAGCAGCTCAAAGCCGGCCAGCTATTTGTCCAAGCGTCGAACGGATCCCAACTGTTTCTAGGTCCACCTCAATAGCGATGAGGCTCTGCAGCGCTGGCCCAACCACCACCGTCCCACCTCTCAGGCGGCTGGTCTTCAGGGGGCGGCGCCGGAGGTGATCCTGGACCTAGCTGCGCAGCAGGCACCTCCTAAGAATTGGCCCCTGCTGTGTTGAGCGAGCAGCGAGCAGCAGATTCGCTGACTGGGAAAAGAGCACAGCCTTTCCGTTTTTCCTTGCAGTCAAAGGGTAAACCCTTGTATTGTGGCTCTACCTGCAATGATCTGATGCTTTTTGCATGGGATTTCCCAAACAAGAACTCCGAGCCCAAAAAGAAGCACGCGTGTGGCAAAAGAACGTGCGACCCAAAACGTGTTCTGCTTTGGCACAAAAAGGCATTGAAATGAGAAACGCTATGGTTGGGGGGGGGAATATCACCAGGATGTCCGAGGCTGCAAGGGCTTTCACAAGCACACGTTTTTCTCTACTCGCGTGAGGCTGGGAGGGTGATGGCAGAGAGGCTGCTTGCCACAGGCTGGGAAGCAAGAACTGAGTTGGGCTTGTTTGGGCTCGAGGGGTTCGAAGAAAATGGTCCGATGTCCATGCTGGACTTTGATTGTGGACCATTCTGGCAAGCAGAAAGGGGCTGGCTGTTTGGTCGATCTACATGTTCGGAAGTGAGGGTGGTCTATCGTGTTCTGGGCTTGTCAGACGAGCGTTGTTTTCAAGTTGCGCCCTGGCCCTGGGGGGGAAGCCTGAAGGACCATCCGAGCACATTTTTTGGTGCCCTGTTGTAGCGTTCACCCGAGGCCTGGAGAGGATTCCCTGTAAAATGGGTTGCCCCCCCCCCCAAATGAACCAGTTAATCAAGCAGCGGTTATGAATCCGCCCCATTTTCTCAGCTCTGCCTTTTGTTCCCTCAAAACAGGTTCCCAGATATGAGCAACGAGCAATACTTCCAGGAATCGATTTCGGGTCTCCTTTTTGTTTTCCACTGTTGTCAAGTGTTCATCCTAGACAAGGTCCGAGACTCCACCTGTTGGGATGGCCTTTTACTGGGACACACCAACAATCCCAATTGACTGGCGAGCGTTTTGTCCCAGGGCTAGTGGGATTGGTAGACTCAACAGCTGGGCCTTTGCCCACTATGGGTGTGTGCTTTTTTTCTTGAAGGAACTCCATGTTTGGGGTGGTTTTGAAGGGAAACCTCAAGGAAAACCGAAATTCCGAAAGGAGGCTCTTTTTGGGGCTCCGAATCCTAAACTGATGAACACACTATGGGCATGTCATCTTTCCGGACGTGCTGACCGCACCCCATCTTAAAAAACAGAAACCAAGAAGGACACCCCGCGCTTCGTTCCGCGTTCCGTTCCGCGTGTCAGGCCAGGGTGGGCCGGAGGCCGCTGAGGCGGCGGGGCGCGCGGCCGCGGGTGCGGCCATGGAGGTGGCGGCAGGCGCTCGGTTTCCGGACTGCTTCTTTGTGGGACCGGTTCAGCGGTTGCTTGGATCATTATGTTTGTTGTTTTGTTTTTTTCTTGGTGGTTCGTTTTCTGGCTTTTGGTGGGCTGCAAAAGTGTTGTTCGGGTTGTTTGTTTTTTGATTCTGTTTTCATATGTGGCGGGCTGCAATTATGTTTAGTTTGTTGGGTTCTGTTTATATTTGGTGGCCTGCAAATGGTTTTCTTGGGTTGTTGGGTTCTGTACATGTTTGGTGGGCTGCTAAAAAGACAGAAGTGGTTTGCGACCATACCAAGGGCTGGAAAGGACCATTTCAGTGTCAACTGTCAACACGCGGGGGGGGGCGGGGGGGCTGTTTGTTGAGGGCACTTGTAAGGTCGGTTTACAGGGACAGAAAAGGGATCGAACACGGATAAACTCTATTTTTGGGGGGTTCCCCCTATTTTTTAAGCATGGAACTTCACAGGTCGTTTGGCGAACATGGTCTTCCGATTAACAGGGCTTGCAAAATCGATTCGCCTGGGACCTTTGCGAACCGGCGGCAGGGGGACCCAACCCAGGATTTGGGTAGGTTCTGGTTGGAAGGCATCAGCTCACCGCCGAACTGGCCCTGCGGTTACGGCCAAGGGGTGCATTATCCCTGTTCTTGGCACCCTCAATATATCCAGCATCGCACGCCACTCAACCAGACACCCTGAAGCATGTTTTTGAGATAGATTCTGGTGCAGGATTTTGCTTCCACACCCTCAACTCTCCAAGCTTACTCTGACCCTTGAATTCTGACTACTCTTCTAGATTTGCTTCTACACCCTCAGAATTTGGGGTGGTAGGATTCAAACCCACCCCCAAATTCTGACTACTATTCTAGGGGTTGATTCCTTGTCCATTAACCAGCTCTGTTTCCCCAGGGTGTTGGGCGGATTTTTTTAGAAAGAAGGATGCTCGGAAAGAATGGAGGGTACCCCTAGAAAAGGACTGAACCAGCCTTTTCAAGAGGGCAGCCGTCTTCCAAAACGCTCCTGGGGCTGCTGCGATTGGCAAGAAGGTGTCTAGGAAGGATGCTGGGAAAGAATGGGAAAGGTACCCCTAGAACTCTCCGCTGCGTCCCGAGTTTCGGAAGGCCTGGCCATGTCCGTCCCGCTGCAAGCGCGCCGAGCCGCCCGCGCAGCAGCCAAGACGGCGGGTGAGGCTGGGAAGATGCGGTCTTGAGGTCGGGAGAGGCTACATCCAAGGTGAATCCACGTGGGTTCGTGTTTTTTTTGAGGGGACCCCCCCAAAATGGTGGTTTTCCTTTTGGTTCCGAGTCAATCAAAGAGCTGAGGTTGCGCGTGTTTTGGCCTTTGGTTCCATTTGCCAACCATTTTGCAACATTGTTTTGTGCCACAGCCACGTGAGCTCGTTCCTTTTCTTGAGGAAAGCCCCCAACATGGTAGTTTTCTTGCCCCCAAACAAGAGACCCGTAGAACGCGGTGCCCGTGGGAGCCTCGGGCCACTGCATGGAACCTGAGAATTTGCCGAGCGGAAGTGGTGTCCGCGGTTTACTTCAGCTTGTGAGGAACTGAAGGTGTCCTGGCTGGTCATGAAGCACTACTGCATGGGACTACAATCTTGCCCGGCTACGTTCCAAACAAAAGGGTTTGTTGTTTCAACCCGGGCTTTTGGTGCTACGTCAAAACCCAAAACAATTCTTCAAAGGAATTTACGGGAACAAATTTGTGTTCGTGATCTGAGAATGGAATGAAATGTGCTTTATGTTTGAGCTAGCTGACTTTTCTTTGAAGGAGTTGGAAGGGCAGGTGTTCGAAATTGCGAATTGCGCAGTAATGTGTGCAGCAAGGTGCTGTGGTTGATACTCGAGGACATTGGTTCCTTTTCTTCTCATCCAGCGTTTGCGAAGAGGTTCTCAACATACGTCAGTACCTTTTTGCCATAAGCCTTACCCTGCGCTTCAAAAGGCCTGTCTAAAGGAGGCCTCTGGAAAGAGGCCTTGATTTGTCAAGAGGCCTTGTTTTGTAAACCCGGAAGTTTCCATGGTAAGTATCCACGCCTTTTCAAGGCCTTTGGCCCCTTATTCCTGGCCCACAAAACATGGTTCTACATTGGCTGCATATGGTGCGTCACCCACGATATCGCTACATGTTGTCCTTTGTGCTCTCAATATCTAGCATCTTTACCTCGCATTGCTTTGCTCCAAGGCAGTTGTTTAAACGGACGAACTCCAGTGGAGTTTCGATTCCATGCTTTCCTTTGGAGGTGTCGGCACAGTTTCGGCGACTCTGCATTTTCGGTGGAACAAACGCCACGCTCTTGCACGAAGGCTGCAGTTGGCCCAAGCAAAAGGTTGGGTTTTGGTCCTGCTGGGTTTTTCTGTGCTGTCCTCGCTTTTTGGCATTGCCTCCACACCTTTTTGAGGCCTTTCCATGCCTTTTTGAGGCATTTCCACGCCTTTTTGAGGCCTTTCCACGGGTTGTCCACGCTTTGTCCACGGTCCAGCTGGTGTTCTGAGTCACTTCGCTGGGCAAAATGCCGCGCAGCGCTTTGCTGACACAGGCCTTGTTGTTAGTTTGGCTCCAATTTCTCAAGCAGATATCTACAAAGGGGGGCTTCAAACTAAAGAGCGTCCCAAGCAAGATGGTAGGAAGGTTGCAGCTATGATTCTGCAAAGGAGAGTTTTTGGCTTTGGCTACCCCTCGAGACCCTTCAGCTGAGGCATGCGCCAATGCATGTTACACGCATTCAACAACATGCCAAATCCCTTCGGGTAAATATATTTGCCAGAAACTGCCCGAGGTGGCCACCCCCAACTTTTCAAGGCCTTTGCCCTTCCTTTTCGAGGCCTTTGCCCTTACTTTTTGAGGCCTCTGCACACCCGATTCAAGGCCTCTGGAACAAAACAAGGCCTAGGCCTGACAAAAGGAGCCCAGGGCTGAACTTGTTTTGGGACGGAAATGTTGTGCCACCTTGCCAAGTATCTCCAGCCGGTCACCCCCCGGAGTTGTGCTTGTCGATGAGCCGGTCCCATAACCCCCATAGGTGGCTGCAAGCGCGTCAGAGGCGCAAGAGCCTGCCAAGGCAGGACTTGTTCGCCGACCGGAAGCAAGAAACGACCCCAGCAAAACTCTCTTCCTGAGTTCCTGGACTTTACAGTGGGGTCCTGGAAGACAACTTGTTTAGGGACCCCCTGTCAAGTTCCATGTCAATTGGTGTGAGTGTATACTTTTTGGAAATTCAATTTGACTGGCTTCACACAACGTTTGATGTTTTTTTTCTGCCCATTCCACTCAGGAAATCCGCAAAAGGAGCCAGAGTCCCTTTCAAAGGAACGGCCAACCAAGGCTTGCGTAGCTGACTGCCACGCGCTTGCCGTTGGTTTTGCAAAGGTGCTTTCCCTCTTTGGCTGACCTGATTATTTTACCATGATCAAAGCCACCCCCTAAGTGGTGGGTTATATGGAAACAACCACATTTTCTCACTTTGATAACCCCCAGAAACAGTCAAAATAATGTCCCCAGTTTGGCCAATGACTTGCAATCCGAATGGATGGGCGGTCCTTTTCCGCAGGTGGCAGAGGAGGCTGCTGCAGCCGCGAGGAAGGTGGCAATGCAGCAAGGCTTGAACCAGGCCTTGTGCCGCTCGCGGCATGCCTTTCGCTGGCAATTGCCGCTGAGTGTCCGGATCTTTGCGTGCATTTTCGCTCGGACCTTCGCATGTCGCCATGCAGATGTTGGCTCAATGCCATGAGCTGGTGCGAGAGATTGCAGGGAATGAGAAATGGAATGACCCTTAACCATCCCGAGGTTTCCTTTAAGGGAATCCCTGGGCTCATGCCCACATTCCCTACTTAGCGCACCGATCGCAAGATGAGTCTCAGCTCTGCACATGCCTTGGAACCACTTCCCCTTTCTTCTGCTGCATCCTGGTGCGCTTCCGGATCCGCAGTGCCATCCCACGAGGTGTTTGTTGTGAGTATCGCACGCCAAGGACGACCTCCCGATGCTCAAAGAAACTCATGCCGCAAGGCCTCAATAGTCATACCCACATGCCAAGCAAGTTTGTCTCCATGGGACTACTCGAGCAACCTGTTTGCAGGTCCGAGCTCAGATTTATCGTGCAGAATCCAACATGATGGAACTCATCCATGATGGAATCTGTCATGAGCTGCTGTAGACAGTAGCGCAGGTGGAAGAAAGAGTCGTGTTCGCAGTGGTTTGAGAGTGTTGGCTGGCCTTATCAACCCACAGCCGATTATTTGCTTCCCAGACTCAACTTCCTCTTGGGGTTCAAACGCCTGCGAAAACTTGCTCGTGCTCAGCAGGGAATGAGAAATGGAATGATCCCTATAAACAAACCATCCCCTCTAGTTTTTGAGGGAATCCCAAAACGTTTCATTCCCCAGATAGCTGAAAGCTATAGGGGTTCTAACTTCTAATAAAGAAGGGAAAGTGATTTGCGAGATTGAGGGCCGGGTGCTGGGGGGCATGCAGTTTGGGGTGCTGGTGGAGGTGCTGCTTTGCGAGCTTGACGGCCGGGTGCTAGGGGGCATGCAGTTTGCAGTGCTGGTGGAGGTGCTGTTTTGCGAGATTGACGGACGGGTGCTAGGGGGCATGCAGTTTGGGGTGCTGGTGGAGGTGCTGTGTTGCAAGATTGACGGCCAAGTGCTAGGGGTCATGTAGTTTGGGGTGCTGGTGGAGGTGCTGTTTTGCGAGATTGACGGCCGGGTGCTAGAGGGCATGCAGCTTCGGGTGCTGGTGGAGGTGCCGCTTTGCGAGATTGACGGCCGGGTGCTAGGGGGCATGCAGTTTGGAGTGCTGGTGGAGGTGCTGTTTTGCGAGATTGACGGCGGTTGCTAGGGGGCATGCAGTTTCAGGCGCTAGTGGGGGCATGTAGTTTGGAGTGTTGGTGGAGGTCCTGCTTTGCGAGATTGACGGCCAGGCGCTAGTCATGCAGTTTCGGGTGCTGGTGGAGGTGCCGCTTTGCGAGATAGGGGGCCATGTAGTTTGGAGTGCTGGTGGAGGTGCTGTCTTGCGAGATTGACGGCCGGGTGCTAGGGGGCATGCAGTTTCGGGTGCTGGTGGAGGTGCCGCTTTGCGAAACTGACGGCCGGGTGCTAGGGGGCATGCAGTTTGCGGCGCTGATTACGGTGCTGGTGCCTGTGCTGTTTAGGGCGCTGATGGACAGCTGATGGACAGCGGGGGGGCACTCAGTTTGGGGTGCTGTTTGAGGTGCTGGTGATGGTGCAGGCGCATTCTTGCAAGATTGATGGCCGCATGCAGTTTGGGGAGCTGATGCAGCTGTTTTGGGGTACTGTTTGGGGTGCTGCTTGAGGTACTGCTGACGTTGTGGCTGGGGTGCATGCAGTTTGGGGTGGTGGTGCAGGTGCTGTTTTGTGTTGCTGTTGGAGGTGCAGCCGACCGCGTGGGCTTATTTCCCAGATAGCTGGAAACTATAGACTTCTAATGAAGAAGGGAAATTGTTTTGCAAGATCGAGCTGGCGCAGGTGCGGTTTTGGGTGCTGTTCGGTTCAGGTTCAGGTGCTGGTGACAGTACGTGACGGCAGGGTGCTCGGGGACGTGTCCGGCGCTGGCGCGGGTGCTGCGTTGCGGTGCTATTGGGGCTGCTGTTTTCGGGTGTTGGTGATGGATGGCAGGGTGCTAGGGCGGGTGCTGTTTGGGGTATCGTGGTTGTCGCATCATCATGATGCTGGCCGCAGCATCATGATGCTGTCAGCAGCATCATGATGCTGTTGAACCGATTCGGACGTTGTTGCTGCTCTAACTGTCGCGCGTAATGGTTCGTGGCTGGTGTATCATCATGATGTTGTCAACCACGTTATGATGCTGCTGCAGTCGCTGCGGCGCCGCGTTATGGTTCGTGGGTGTGGTGGCGGGCATAGTGCTGTCAACATCAGGATGATGCTGAATTTCATTACACTGTCGCAAGATGATTCGTGGCTGTGGTATGATCAAGATGCTGCCTTTGCCATCACCATGATGCTGTGAGCATCATCATGATGCTGTCCGCATCGTCATGATGCTGTCGAACTCATCAGGACGTCGTCTCTGCCTTTCTTTTGCTAGATATGTAGCGCGGAATCGTTTGTGGCTGGTGTATCAGCATCATCCTGTCCACATCATTGTTTTGCTGACGGACTCACTGGGACGTTGTCTGCGCGTCTATGTAGCGCACAATGCTGTGAGTAGTTCATGATGCTGTCAACATCATCAAGATGCTGTCAACATCATCATTAACACGCTGCGGGAACCATTATGATGCTGCGTCATGGTTCGTAGCCGTGGTGTGCTATCTGGGGTCTATGCTGGTGTATTTTTATTTCTCATTCCCTACTTGTCGCACCCCGATCGCGAGAAAAGGATTTCAACTCAACTACCTCTTGGGATTCAACCTCCTAAGTGGATTTCTCCACTTCGTGTCTCGGAGCCACTCGAGAGTCGCGGGTCGCGGCTGTTGCGGCGCAGGCCGGCGTCCGCTTGGCCGCCTGCGCCGCGGCGGGCGCCGCAGCGGCGGCCAAGGCGTCGGCGGCGACGGCGTCGCCGGAGAAGGCGGCCGTGGCAGCGGCCGAGGCGGGGAGCACCGCCGCCAAGTGTGGAGGCCCCAAAAGACCGGTTGGAACGGGTTTGGAACGTCTGGCGTGCTTGAAACATGACAAATTCTGTGCTTTTCTCTTGTTGTGTTTTTCGCTCGGGTTGGCTCACAATCAAGAAGAACAGAGTGTGCAGGTGAGTCACGATCAAAACCCGGGCAATTGGAGGTAGTAAGGACAATCCCAGCCAAAAATAGGTAGAAATGGGTGCGGATATCCGTGTTTTCCCATTCTTCACATGGTTCTGGGTAGACCATTTTAATACCGGGTTTTGATTTTCACTCAGGTGCTGATCGCATGTTGCCATTGACAGGCTGCTGCCAAAGCTGCAGAGGGCACAGGCGCTGGTCTGGTTCGGCAGTGATATGGGTGCGTTGCTTTTGGACTACACTCCCTGAGACAAACAGCCGGAAGCTCCCAGAAGGCCTCGGTAAACGGAAACAAGTCTTCAAGGTCCTGGAAGCTTTCATCGAATCGTTTGGGGGAGGGTACTTCGACTTTTTGGGAAGCCAAGCGGAACACGCCCAATTCGGGGGTCGCTTATTTGGAGACCCTATCTTTTTTCTTCGCGAGTGGAGCGGGTTGATTGCCACAACATGTATTGGTCACGTACATCGGAGCCCTGCAGGCGACAACGCCCATTGCTGTAGCCTGCAGGTGACCGCCTGGATTGCTGGACAAAGACTGCTTGTCATAGGCGTCCTTTTTAGGTTAGTTTGGTGAAAAATAGATGGGTTTCACTGGTTTAGATGGGTCTTGTTCCATTTACCAGGGCCATCTATTTTTGCAGAAGGCCACCTATGCTGCTTGTGGGGATCCATTGGAATTGGATGTGCAGGCACTTGTTCAATTTGTCGGATTGCATCGCCTTCCAACGTGGCTTGTTCGAAGAACTCTTCGTCTTAGCAACGTAGTGACACGACTCAAACACACGCATACACACAGACAGACGGACAGACAGACAGAGACAGATAGAGACACACAGAGACACACAGAGACACACACACACACAGAGAGACACACACAGACACACAGACACACACACACAGACACACACGCAGACACACACACACACACACAGAGAGACACACACAGAGAGACACAGACACAGACACACAGACACACACACACAGACACACACGCAGACACACACACAGACACACACAGACACACGCACACAGACACACACACAGAGACACACACACAGACACACACACACACACAGAGACACACACAGACACACACAGACACACACAGACACACACACACACACACAGACACACAGAGAGACACAGACAGACAGACAGACAGACAGACAGACAGACAGACAGACAGACAGACAGACAGACAGACAGACAGACAGACAGACAGACAGACAGACAGACAGACAGACAGACAGACAGACAGACAGACAGACAGACAGACAGACAGACAGACAGACAGACAGACAGACAGACAGACAGACAGACAGACAGACAGACAGACAGACAGACAGACAGACAGACAGACAGACAGACAGACAGACAGACAGACAGACAGACAGACAGACAGACAGACAGACAGACAGACAGACAGACAGACAGACAGACAGACAGACAGACAGACAGACAGACAGACAGACAGACAGACAGACAGACAGACAGACAGACAGACAGACAGACAGACAGACAGACAGACAGACAGACAGACAGACAGACAGACAGACAGACAGACAGACAGACAGACAGACAGACAGACAGACAGACAGACAGACAGACAGACAGACAGACAGACACACAGACACACAGACACACACACACACACACACACACACACACACACACACACACACACACACACACACACACACACACACACACACACACACACACACACACACACACACACACACACACACACACACACACACACACACACACACACACACACACACACACACACACACACACACACACACACACACACACACACACACACACAGACACACACACACACACACGGACCAGTAAAAACTCATATAGACTGGATACCATGGTGTCATGCAAGCTGCCAATTCTGGGAATCCGCAGCTGTTGGCAGAAACACCTGCATGGCCATGTGGGCCTTGACAGAGGCCTTTGACCGCTTTTGTGTTGATATGTCAACCATGGTGGATGGTGGGGTTTAACAGTCAACAAATGTGGCTTGTCTCGAAGTTCGGCCCCGCCCCCCCCCCCCCCCAAATGCGTGATGTTCTGTTGTTGTCCGTTCTCAAGAAACTCAACATGGGGTTCCCTCACAGAGGGACACACACACACACACAGCGCATGCGCTGTTCCGGCGGGCATTTGGCGGTCTGTGGTCCGTTTGAAAGGGACAAAGGGGGAACTCGCGGCCATCGGGGGGCCTCACCCATGTTTTTTTTGCTGCCGCATTGACCCTGGTTCGCGTTGGATGAACCGGACAGGTGCTTTTTGCTCAGGCGCAGGTGAGGCCGCGGCTGCAGCGGCCGGTGCTGCGGCCGCGGAGGCTTGCGAGGCGGCAGGCGCGAGCCGTTTGCCGGGCTGCCGGGCCACTAAATCCCTTTTTGGAAGACGGTTCTTCGAGCGGGTCTGTCCGGTTTTGGAAGGGAAACCACAGGGAACACCGAAATCCGGGTTGGGATCTTCTCGGGTGTTCCCTATGTTCCTTGACATTTGGTGATTGGATGGGTTCGCCGGGCCAAATGGCGGATTCCGTTGCCTTTCTGCTTTGAAGGCTAAGGGCCAGGGTTGGAACACAAGATTGGAATAGAATGAGCGTTCCCACTTCAAGCGTGTTGGGCTGGCAGACACAGCTGGGCCAACAGTTGCAAGTCAGGTTGAAAGTGCGCCATCTTTGAAACTAATTGAGCCATGCGGAGCTGCACGTGTAGGCATGAAGTGGTTTTCTGCGCATTTGATGCATCATGGGTATGCCGATTCCGAGCACGGCTGGACGTCTAGGCCTCACTGCCGCCGCCGCCGCGGAGGCTGCGGGGCGGGCAGCGGCCAAGGCTGCTCAAGACCACGGCGCAGGCGAGCAGCACATTTCGGGGATCTTCCATTTGCTGACTATTGTTTTGTGTTTGTCCCCTGTTTTTTTTTCAACTATGTTTTGTGTTTGTCCCCTGTTGGTTTTAAATATGTTGTTCATTGTCCCCTGTTGTTGTTGTGTTGTCTTTTTGTCCCCTGTTGCCTTTAAATTAAAGGGAATCGGTTTTACTATCAGCACCCTCCGACTACTGTGTTCACTTCAGCGGGTACCATGGGTTCAGCTACTGGAAATATTTCTGATTTGTTCCAGGGGCTTTAAGCAAGTGGAAGGGATGGCTCAATGCAGCCACCGGTTTTGTGGTTTGTCATGAGAGCTATGTTTGCTATCTATGATGCTAACTTTGCAAGCTGCCTCGGTGGTCCTTTGGTTGAGCCACTCATGCTCGATAGTTTCGTTGCATCTGACAGTACTTGTTTTGTTGTTTGTTTGTTGTGTGTTGTTGCTTTGGTGTTTGTCTAAACAATTTTGAGTCAAGATGACAAGATGCAAGAAGTGCATCTTCCTTGCCATTGCCATTGTTGTAGTCTGTGTGTGTGTGTGCGCATGTTGAGTTGTGTGCAAATTGCAGGTGGTCAGTTTGCGCGGCGTTCAACACGTGCTGCTAGAACCAGGGCGCCACCTGTGCAACAGCCTGAACATGCGTAAGGTAAGACACGACACAAAGTTGCGCTCGAAACGGCAAGCAGCAACATGCCAACATGCACGGCCAAAACAACAACACCGCATAGTTGGATACAACAACCAACAAAACAGAACGTCGAGTTGTATCCAACTGGGCAGACCCCCCACTGCGTGAGTGCGCCACTTCCGCCCGCCAGGCTCCGAGGCGGCGCGCTTCGCGGCCGGGGCGGCTGCGGCAGTGGTGGCCCGCCGGAAGGCCGCGCAAGGCGCGGCAAAACGGGGGGGGGGCTCGTCTTGAGTTGGGGGGACCAATGGGACTACCCAAAATGGTGGTTTTGCAGCTGATGCTGTTGGTGGCCCTTTGCCTGTTGTAAGACCTGTCAAAAATCAGAAAAAGTTGGGGTGGCCTCGAAAAATTTGGAGGTTTTGCTGTTGGTGTCCCTTTTCCTGTTGTAACACCTCAAAAGTGGGGCGGCCTCAACAAAAGACAGACCCGAATGGCAAGGAATTGGCTGTTAGACTTGTTTGCGGGAGGAGTAAATAGAGGCAAAAAAGGGGCGCTGGTGCAGGTTAGTTTTGGGGTGTTTTGGAAGGCCCATTTCAATCTCTGAAGCATCATCGACTGGCCAAGGTTTAGTCCTGACCCTTTTCCATCGGTTCACTGGCTATCCGGAGGGCATTCGGCTGAAGGCCTCCCTTTCTTTGCATAAAAGGTGTTCAAATGGTCAACTCTGGTGGTTGCTTGTCACGCCTTGATGTTTGACTGGAACCAGGGCTTACAGAAGAGGACCAAAAATCAAAAAGCAGGGGAATGTTAATGGCCTCAACAAAGCTTCGCTCTTCAGGGTTTGCAACCCACTTCTGCTGTTCGATTCACAAGGTTAGTTTTGGTTTGGGCTTACTTTGAGTTGTGTACGTTGCCCAATGCTGCGATGCGTCATTCCAAAGTTCCTGTTGATCAAGAATAGTACCTAGTGTGACTGCGCATGCTTGTAATGAGCTGAGGGAGCCTGCGTTGATTTGGACACATGTCCTTGCGACAGGCTCAAGGTGTGCATTGGCATACTACAACTGTTCACCCTTGGGGATGCCTTGCAGCTAAGGAACTGGTTGCCTTCGTTCTTTCTACAAGGAGGGTGGACCTTTTGAACACACCAAGCTGTCTTGCTGGGGTATTGTGGATAGACGAAATCCTGCACAACCATGGGAAACCAGCGTTTGTTGGTATTTACAGGGGAATCATCATTCCAAGATTTCTTAGGTGGTGCGAATTGGATTCCGTCCATACACAGTAGTGGCCTTCCGGCTGGGGGAACAAGCAAAAGCGGACAAACACGGCCGACGCACGCCTACGCCGAGCCCGCCTGGTAGAAAGACAAGTCCACCATGTGGCTGTGGCTCAAAAAACCGGTACCAAATTGGAACCCTGGTAAGTGGAGAAAAAAAAAAACAACTGCGGTTTGCCCCTCCTGGTTAATTTTGAGCCATGCCCATGTAGCTCGGGGATTCCTTCCCGTCTCAAGTCTTGGGGGCTCCCAGCCGTCCGCTTCGCGAGGTTTTTATTTTGGGTTTTCGGTTGGTTTGGCGGTTGGGTTTCCTCTTAGGCCACTACTCCCAGCCGTCTGGTTCGTGGGGTTGTCAGGGTTTTGGGTTGGTTTGGCGGTTGGGTTTTCTCTTAGGCCACTACTCCCGGCCGTCTGGTTCGTGGGTTTGTCTGGGTTTTCGGTTGGTTTGGCGGTTGGGTTTTCTCTTAGGCCACTACTCCCCAGCCGTTTGGTTTGTGGGTTTGTCAGGGTTTTTGGTTGGTTTAGCGGTTGGGTTTTCTCTTAGGCCACTACTCCCAGCCGTCTGGTTCGTGGGTTTGTCAGGGTTTTTGGTTGGTTTGGCGGTTGGGTTTTCTCTTAGGCCACTACTCCCAGCCGTCTGGTTCGTGGGTTTGTCAGTGTTTTCGGTTGGTTTGGCGGTTGGGTTTTCTCTTAGGCCACTACTCCCAGCCGTCTGGTTCGTGGGTTTGTCTGTGTTTTCGGTTGGTTTGGCGGTTGGGTTTTCTCTTAGGCCACTACTCCCAGCCGTCTGGTTCGTGGGTTTGTCAGGGTTTTTGGTTGGTTTGGCGGTTGGGCTTTCTCTTAGGCTCTCCCAGCCGTCTGGTTCGTGGGTTTGTCAGGGTTTTTGGTTGGTTTGGCGGTTGGGTTTCCTCTTAGGCCACTACTCCCAGCCGTCTGGTTCGTGGGCTTGTCAGGGTTTGGGTTGGTTTGGCGGTTGGCTTAGGCCACTACTCCCAGCCGTCTGGTTCGTGGGTTTGTCTGTGTTTCGGTTGGTTGGCGGTTGGGTTTTCCTTAGGCCACTACTCCCAGCCGTCTGGTTCGTGGGTTTGTCAGGGTGTTTTCGGTTGGTTTGGCGGTTGGGTTTTCTCTTAGGCCACTACTCCCAGCCGTCTGGTTCGTGGGTTTGTCAGGGTTTTTGGTTGGTTTGGCGGTTGGGTTTTCTCTTAGGCCACTACTCCCCAGCCGTTTGGTTTGTGGGTTTGTCAGGGTTTTTGGTTGGTTTAGCGGTTGGGTTTTCTCTTAGGCCACTACTCCCAGCCGTCTGGTTCGTGGGTTTGTCAGGGTTTTTGGTTGGTTTGGCGGTTGGGTTTTCTCTTAGGCCACTACTCCCAGCCGTCTGGTTCGTGGGTTTGTCAGGGTTTTTGGTTGGTTTGGCGGTTGGGCTTTCTCTTAGGCCACTACTCCCCAGCCGTTCGTCTGGGTTTTGTCTGTGTTTTCGTTGGTTTGGCGTTGGGTTTTCTAGGCCACTACTCCCAGCCGTCTGGTTCGTGGGTTTGTCAGGGTTTTTGGTTGGTTTGGCGGTTGGGTTTCCTCTTAGGCCACTACTCCCAGCCGTCTGGTTCGTGGGTTTGTCAGGGTTTTGGGTTGGTTTGGCGGTTGGGCTTTCTCTTAGGCCACTACTCCCAGCCGTCTGGTTCGTGGGTTTGTCAGTGTTTTCGGTTGGTTTGGCGGTTGGGTTTTCTCTTAGGCCACTACTCCCAGCCGTCTGGTTCGTGGGTTTGTCAGGGTTTTTGGTTGGTTTGGCGGTTGGGTTTCCTCTTAGGCCACTACTCCCAGCCGTCTGGTTCGTGGGCTTGTCAGGGTTTTGGGTTGGTTTGGCGGTTGGGCTTTCTCTTAGGCCACTACTCCCAGCCGTCTGGTTCGTGGGTTTGTCTGTGTTTTCGGTTGGTTTGGCGGTTGGGTTGTCTCTTAGGCCACTACTCCCAGCCGCTTGGTTCGTGGGTTTGTCAGGGTTTTTGGTTGGTTTGGCGGTTGGGTTTTCTCTTAGGCCACTACTCCCAGCCGTCTGGTTCGTGGGTTTGTCAGGGTTTTTGGTTGGTTTGGCGGTTGGGCTTTCTCTTAGGCCACTACTCCCAGCCGTCTGGTTCGTGGGTTTGTCAGGGTTTTTGGTTGGTTTGGCGGTTGGGTTTTCTCTTAGGCCACTACTCCCAGCCGTCTGGTTCGTGGGTTTGTCAGGGTTTTTGGTTGGTTTGGCGGTTGGGCTTTCTCTTAGGCCACTACTCCCAGCCGTCTGGTTCGTGGGTTTGTCAGGGTTTTTGGTTGGTTTGGCGGTTGGGTTTCCTCTTAGGCCACTACTCCCAGCCGTCTGGTTCGTGGGTTTGTCAGGGTTTTTGGTTGGTTTGGCGGTTGGGTTTTGTCTTAGGCCACTAAAAGTTAGTCGCTTTTAGCAGATCTGAAACCGCGCAGCCAAGAAGTATCCTGATGTTTCACAGCCCAGCTCAATCCGATGCCAGCGAGGCCTGCCCACACCACTGGTGGCAGAGGAAGCTGCAAAAGCAGCAGCACAGGCCGAGGGGCAAACAAACACGCCCCCAAGGGCGGGGTTTCTGGTTCCACATGTGCCATGGTCGAAATCCCCTGGTCACTTCCGCAATAAAGGGAGTTTAGATACTGCAGGAGTTCTTGTGCATGGCAAGCATCTTGTTTGATTGGGAGTGCCCGGTAGCCGTTTTGGAGCGAACTGACGGAAGGAAGGAAGGAAGGAAGGAAAGAAGGATGGAAGGAAGGAAGGAAGGAAGGAAAAGACAAGGAAGGCAAGCCTTTCAATCCCCCCGCTGGTGGTTTGATTTTTATACCGATAGCAGTTGCGCTGGTGGATGCACCTAAGGGAGAACTGCACCCTTTGCCAAATTATTACTGCTTCGAACATCATGGTGTGGGCGGGGGGGGGGGCAGCACCCCCCAACCCCGGCTGATCTTTTGATGCTTATACAGACGCTAGAATCATCACTGCTTCGAACATGACTGGGGAGGCTCATGTCAGTGCGTGTTTTTTTTTTTTTTTTTTTTTGTTTGTCTTGTTTTATTCTTTAGATATCTATTTGGTTATATAGTTGATCCTTATTTGTTGCGATCCCTTCATGTTGGACCGAAGACACAAAAAGAGGTTTCCAACTCATTGGCCTTCCCGTTGTGCTTATACATCACGTATACATAGTGTTGACAATTAGCATCACATACGTACCAATATATGCATATATATATATACATATCATGTGTGCAACTACGACATTTGCATATCATTTGGGTGGTGGCTTTTGACCAAAGGCGCCCTCACCGCTGGAAGCGGGGTGTCAGGCTGCGGCCGCAGTGGGCAGCTCGGCGGCCAAAGTGGCGGAGCTGGCGGCGCAGGAGGCCTCAATCAGCTTCAGAAATCGTTGTCTTCCGTTTCCTTAAGAAGACGTGTTTTGTTTTTTTTGTTTTCCCTTTGATGGTTTCATAAGGGAATCTAACAAGATGTTGTTGCTGTTTTTTCCCCTTTGTTGGTTTTATAAGGGAATCTTTCAGTATTGGACATTTGTTGCCAGAAATCGTAAGCCTTGCTTGGTTTCGACTGGCTGGGAGTCGGATTCGGACCTCTGGTTCTTGTTGGACGCAAAAAGGCTCCAAAATGACCACTCCAAACCTTGGTGGTTCCCAGCCATCCAGTTCCTTGGCTTTTTAGCCTTTCAGTGTTTAGTGCGGAGTTCCATTTAACCCACTAAAAGTTAAACTTTTAGCGAGGGATCTGAGGACAGCCCAGTTCCATTTCGTAAAGAAGATGCTTTATGTTCCTTTGTTGGTCGCTGTTGGTTGTATAAGGGAATCTATCACTATTGCACATATAATTTTTGCCAGGCGGCGTATTCGCAAATGGAGGCTGTACGTCTGTTTTATTTGGTGGTGTCCTTGCGTTTTCTGAGCAATCCACTCCTGCTGGTGCGATAAGTAGGGAATGAGGGAATGAACCGGAAGGCTTCCCGAATAAAGGAAACTACCAGTTAGATGGTTTGCACGGGTCATTCCATTTCTCATTCCCTACTGTCACGGGGGCCAGATGGGACCCACTCGGATGAGACCCCCTCACCCTTTTTCTTTAGAGTGCTTGAGAGTGGCCTCTAGATTAAATTGATGAGGCAGGCGGGTCACGCCTGCTCAGCCTCAAGGAAAAGCAACCCAAAGACCGAAAACTTGGACATCTGAGTGGGTCCCATCAAAAAATGTGCTGCGTGGTTTTGGCATGGGACCCCCTCACTCTAAACCACTCTAAATCACTCTAAGGCTCATTTTTGGGGAGAAGGGAGGGAAGGGGGGAGGGAATGGTGACGGCCTACCGGAATGGAGCCTTTTGCTTCATATTGCGCCAAGTTGGCTTGAGCAAAATGGCGCGTGTTCGCATCATGCGTTGATTTTACCCATCTCTCCAACAAAAGCAGTTTTTTTCCAATGTTTGCAAGCTTGCCAGCAAGCTCTAAACGACTAGAGTGATTTAGAGTGATTTAGAGTTGCTTAGCGTGAGTTAGAGTGATATAGAAAACATGAAAATCATTGGGGCTGGGAGGGAAGCCAGGGCTTAACACGAGCTAGTTTGGGCTCCCTCCCCCCTCTCCCTCCTTTCCAGGTCCCATGATAATTTCCTGGGGTAATCGGGTGTGGAAACCGTCCTTTTGTCACCTCCCACATGGAACCTGACTGAAGGTCTTAGGGCTCAGAGATTCGTTGATATGAACTTCTGATGGATCACTCAAATTTAAGATGTTGAGACTGTTGAGGGCTTTCCTAATTTATTTGTTTGCGGGGGGTTCCCCTTGAAAGCACCATTTAGGGGCCAACATTGAGGATGTCACTTTGGACCCAAAACACCAAGCCTTTCGATGTGTGAACTTCAGAATCAGGAATCCTCAGGTCATTCCACATAGTTCTAAGCGGTGACGTCTCAATTCGTCTCAGACCAAACTTTAGAGCCTCCGGCTCAGTCCGCCGACATTGTCCTCTCCCTTTTCTCCTTCTTCCTCTCTTCCTTGTCTCCCTTGTGTGTTCTGTCGTCCTCTCTCCCTCCCTCTGCTCCCATCCTCCCCATCCCCCCAAGCCTCTCTCTCCCCAATCTCCCTCTCTCGTATGTATGCATGCATGTACATAAGTATGTATGCATGTATGTATGTAATGTATGTATGTATGTATGTATGTATGTATGTATGTATGTAATGTAAGCAAGTAAGTAAGTAAGTACGTAAGTATGTATGTATGTAATGTAATGTAATGTAATGTAATGTAATGTAATGTAATGTAATGTAATGTAATGTAATGTAATGTAATGTAATGAAATGTAATGTAATGTAATGTAATGTAATGTAATGTAATGTAATGTAATGTAATGTAATGTAATGTAATGTAATGTAATGTAAAGTAATGTAATGTATGTAATGTATGTATGTATGTATGTATGTATGTATGTATGTATGTATGTATGTATGTATGTATGTATGTATGTATGTATGTATGTATGTATGTATGTATGTATGTATGTATGTATGTATGTATGTATGTATGTATGTATGTAATGTAATGTATGTATGTATGTATGTATGCAAAGTATGTATGTAGGTAGGTAGGTAGGTAGGTAGGTATGTAATGCATGTATGCATGTATGTATGTATGCATGTATGCATGCATGTATGTATGTATGCATGCATGCATTCATGCATGTATGTATGTATTACCCGCAAACAAACACGGTTTTTCTAGCGTTTTCGCAAAGAGGACGTCCAAAAACATTGAGTTTTTCCATATTTTCTGCAAAAGGATGCAGGAAGCCCAAGCCAGCAAAAAAGCCGGCAGGGGGAATCGAGCCTGGGACCCCTGTTTTGCGACACCGGCTCCCCGAAGACTACGTTTAGTGGAACGTCATCAAATTGCCGCGCGGTACGTGGGGGACCCCCCCCCCCCCAAAAAAAACCAACGTAATAGACGTCGGGCGGGGGGGGGTTAGGGGGGGGGGGTTATCCTCTATCCTCTAGTAAGTATCCGACACGCCGAGCAATGTCGGCAGACTTCCAGATGGTTTACTCCTTGTCAATGGGGCTGACTTGCAAGCGGTTTTTGGTGTCCAACAAAGAAAGAGGCAAGCTTTCAAGGGAGGTACTGGATCATGCGTCCCATTCTTCTCAAACTTCTCGCAGTCCGGAAGCTTTGCGTTGCATGGTGTCTATGACTGATGACTTGAGCTTGAGCCCACTCTTCCATTGGCGCTGACGACGCACGCGTGCACAGACAGTTCGCAGGCGGACGTGCCCCTGATGTTGACTGCTATTGGGTTGGATCTTTAGACTTTAGCTTTTTGGGAAATCAAGGGGTTTTCCACTAAACCCCCAAAACGTTGTCAACTTTTTGCAGGGGGTCGTTGCAGCAACCAAGAGATGTTGATGGTATCAAAGAATTTCGTCCGCTTTACACCGTGGCACCGTCCCTGAATCCGCAGGCTGGCAAAGCTGCAGCTGAGGCGGGCTGACCTCAGAAGGGCATTTGTGGCCTCGGAAAGGGTTTTTTTCCCACAGGTTCCAAAGTTCAGAAAGCCAGCTGACACTGAGATAGTGTCTCCGGATTTGACCAGGCACCACCGGGATGCTGTGAAAGCTCCATGGGGCATTGTTGTCCAGGAAGCCCCACATCGTGTCGGCGTGTTCTGACATTTGACTGAGGCCACAACCGCGGCGTGCGTAGGTATCTCGTGGATCATGTTGCGAAGCCTCGCGTCGCAATCGCGTAGCCATTTGATAAGACGAGTTCTCACGTGACATGTGTGTTTGTTTTTTTTGTACGACAGCGTGACGCGTTGCTGTGGGGATGGACTGCCGGCTTGCGAAGCCTTCATGTCCAACAAGTATGTCGTTTCCAGGATTTCAATCATGTCAGACAGATTTCGCGTAATTCGGCATTCGCAGGCATTTCGCCCCGGCATCCAAGATCCAAGTGGGGTCCTTCAGGGCTCCTTCCTTTGCGGGTCCGCGGTTGGAGCTGGAGCTGCAGTTTTGCGCCCGAAATGAGACCCGCGTTGTCGCGGTTCGGTGCATAGGCGTCCAGTCAACTTGGTCTTGGTTCTGCGGGTGCTTTTGGGGCAGTGGTCGTTCACTTGGCGTAGGCGCAAGCGCGGCACAAGCGAAAAATAGGGCCACTTTTTGGTGTCCCCTTTCAACAATTTCGGCACAAGGCGGCAGCATCCAAAAAGGCGCCATCGTTTTGACCGCTCCCCATATATATTTCAGGCCCCACTCGCAGGCAGTGCTCAGGGGCCCGGCGAACCCGCCAGAAGCGGTGGAGACGGCGGATGCAAGCCCAGAGCTCGCGAAGAAGGCCGGGAGAAGTGTCCGGACTCCCTTGGAGTCCTCTTGGTATGGCTGGCCTGTCCCGCAAAAGGGGAGGGAGAAAAAAGAAAAGCTGACCAATCTGGTAGAATGCTGGGGATATTTGTGGGGGACAAAACACAAAAGCTGACCAATCTGGTAGAATGCTGGGGAGATGGTGGGAGGGTTGGTGTGTTTGAAGATGCTGTTGTTGATGTGTGTTGTGTTTGTTTTCTTGTTTGGCATTCAGTGACACCAAGCTTGCATTGGTTTTGGAGCACTGCCCCAAACCAGGACACTAGCCTAAAGCAAACATAACAACAACCCTAAAACAAACCTGGCAGCTTCCAAAGCAGACCCAATTGGATCAGCCCAAATCTGCATGAGAAGGCGACTGGAGATGACACCAGAACCAGAAAGCAAAATAGCCTGGAGCCGGCACACGGCTTGTTCAGTGATTAGATCTGAGGATTTTGCGGAGATTGCCATTGATGACATCGTCCTACTTCTGTAATCGGCGTTGTGGTTTCATGTAGGCCTGGAGTTGCAGGTGTTAGCCCAGTGTGGCCTGGAGTGTGAACGTTGACAGCAACTTTGGATGAATCAGGATGAATCCAATTGGATCACTTGCGCTTCATTTTGAGCTGAAACGAGATTGCCGGTGAGTTGGGTCAGTTTTCTTTGGAATCCTTTGCTTCCGGTTGGCGAAGTTAGGTTCATTCTATGTATTGGAGCTTTGATGCACACCCCGGGTTTCATGGCATCCTTGCAGCCCTGACCTTGTTGCTGCAATTCAGCGCAAAGGCGAGCAAAGGACAAGGGCACTTTACAGCGACGGTTGCTCATTGCAGCATTGCCATCTTCATCGCTACCCCTACCCCGACGGTTCCAAGCATGCCCTCAGTTTCAACATGCTACGGACATGTCCCTCGCTTTCGAGATGTTTCTTCGTGCAGCTGAGGTGAAGACTGCGCAGCAAAAGCGGCTTGGGTCAAAGTGCAATGTTATTACATGACGTCTCAAATAATTTCGCCCTGTATACAGTGTTGCTGAAGTATGGTATGTTATATATTTTAACC